CAAAATGAAATGCGATTAATATAGATTAAAAATGAATGGTATTTAATCGTGATTAATCTAAATTAATCCACAGGTACCCTGTGATTAATCTGATTAAAAAATTTTATCGTTTGACAGCACTACTAATTAGTAATATAATTAGGGAGCTGCAGCAAAAACCCGCACACACAGTGGCCCTTTGCGGATAAGATTGGCCACCTCTGCTCTAGTGTCTTGGTGATGCACTGAAGATATTACTTTTTTGTTATTTGGAAATGAGGAGTATTATGTTGTGGGTTTAAGACTAGCTTCTATGACATGATCCAGGTATACAAGATGCTAACAGGTGTGGATGCTGTTCAGCCAAATAGTTACTTCAATATTAGTTTAAATACTAGAACTCGTGGCCATAGGAGGAAATTAATGGGAGAACATTTTAAAATAGATTTGAGAAAGCATGTCTTTACACAGCATGTAGTTAGAGTATGGAATAGTCTCCCTGTTAGTGTAGTGCAAGCTAAAACCTTGGTTTCCTTTAAATCAGAGCTAGATAAGATTTTAACAACTCTGAGCTATTGGTTGAATTCTCCCCAAACAAGCTTGAATGGCTGAATGGACTCTTCTTTGTAAATTTCTTATATTCTTATGTTCTTATGATATATCAACATGCCATTTATGTTTTCAGGAGTCATAGGGTGAATAACATGTTAATGTTTGCCAATGGCCAACAAACTCCCCTGCTTACTTTTGATCAAAGAGGTGTCCAAAGTGATGATGCTGTCCACAAGCTGACAGAACCAAAGCAACATCATCCCATATTGTTAGCAAATATGTGCATGGTGGATTTTTTTTTATCTTTGTTTTATTATTAAGTTTTGGCAAATGCATGCAGCTCCATTCTCCTTTTCAGTTTACTCATTCTTACATTTCACACCATTCCACTTGCTCTATGGTGAATCTGTTGGTTGATTTGTATGAAGGCTGCATTCATGTAAAAAAATAAAATGGAAAAATGTGATTTATCTGTACTTAATGTTGTTTTGAATATTTATTATTGGGTAGACAGCCCCAGTACATTTAAAGCCATTTAAAAAGTGATAAAATGAGAACCAGACTAATATGGGTTTTGTTTGCCATCTAGTGGCAGCCTCTGGTCACTGTTGGGTATTTCTGTTGTTGCATTCGTGTCTTTAAAACGTCAAGCTATTTTAGAATTGACCATCCATCCATGTGCTGTACTTGCTTACTAATGACATTAATCATTTACAGAAATTATTATATATATAATATCTATATTTGTGCAGTATCTGTGTTTGCTTTTTTTCTGTCTGACAATAGGCACTATTATTTATCCCTGAATTAATGCTCACTGTGTTATCACGCACTGTGCGTTTGTATGCACTGTTACATGTTGTGTTTTTGGTGTTAACCCACAAATGCCTGTTTTCGTGAATGCATGCACTTTGTCCATGCAGGCAGTCGACGGGCGGTGGATGTGATGGATGTGAGCACCCAGAAGGGCTCCGAGATGAGCCTGGCTCAGTTTGTCCGCTACTATGAAACACCGGAGGCAGAGCGGGACAAACTGTTCAACGTCATCAGCCTCGAGTTCAGCCACACCAAGCTTGAGAACCTTATTAAGAGGCCAATTGTGGTACAGTGGCTCCGTCCTACAGGGCAGAGGGAGGATTGTTGCAGCTGGCCAGTGCTGCAATCAGAAAATTATTGTCCTGGAAGGTGAAATCCTAGATATTTTTGTTCCAGTCAGGCACTGAATTTTCTGGCTCTAATTGTCTTGATTGAATCAGTTCGATCACTTGAAACATGCTGATATCTTAATAGAGTAATGAGTGCCTGAAAACTTTCTGGATTTGGACTTGCAGGACCATAATTAAATAATTATTTCAGATTTTAGGGAGACAATGGGTTTGAGCCACCAGATATCAATCAAGTTCAGTGAAGGGCTGAAGGAGAGAGAATTTGACCAATAAACTGAACAATATCGTGCGAAAGTAAAAAAAAACTGAGGCAACAATACATAAAACTAGGAGATGTTCAACTGCATAGCCCAGGACATAGGCTCTTCTTCCTGTATTTACTTTCTTGCTTCTGCCACAGACACATCTGACCAGTAAGCAGAACGAACATTCTCATGTGGTTTGCAGTGGTGCATTATTGCTTCACTTGGATTTTTCTGTGTGTGAAATCAAACTGAACCAAGAAGAAAATGCTGCAAGGTTACAAACTCATCAACTGATTCGAGCCAGAGAAACTGAACTTTAGGTGTGAAAATGCCCTAAGTCAATAATTTGACCCAGTTCACCTCTTTACTGTGTTTCAGGTGGACATGGTGGACTGGGTAGATAATGTGTGGCCTCCCCACCTGAAAGAGAAGCAAACTGAGGCCACAAATATCATATCAGAGATGAAGTACCCCAAAGTCCAGAAGTAAGTGTTAGATTGTGTTAAAGACTCGGGCTGTTTTGCAGATTGGTTGTGTTCATTCATTCAAAATATATGAATGGGCAAGAGAGTAAATGGTCAACAAAAATTATGGCTAATGTTTACCGGGTGGTCAATTAATGTCCATGTCACTGAAGTTAAAATGGCATTGTTTTGTGATATGCAGCAATGGAGTGCACAGAATTCTTAACTAAGACACAAGCTGTAATTTCTTGGTTTGAGAGCTGACTTGCAATAGTAATAGTCAGGGAATATACACCAATGAGCTGAAACATCATGACTGCTCCCATGTAAAGCAAATAATGTTGATTACCTTGTAAAAACCGTGGTTGTCAAGGTGTAAATCAAGGCTATCCCCTTTAGTACAAACCAATAGAAGGGCTACTGTGACACACATAGCAGAAAATTTTTATGGTGATCACAAGAGTAATATGTCATGACACATAAGGCATCAAACCTGTTGTCTATGGGGCTACATAGCCACAGGCCAGTCAGAGTGTCCATGTTGGACCCCTGTTCACCATCAAAAGTGCCATCCTATGGGCACATAAGTGTTGGAACTGAACTTAGAAGAAGGTCACCTTGTCTGATGAATCCCGTTTTCTGTTCCATCATGTGGATGGCTGGGAAGGTGTCGAGCATTTGTGGGATGTGTTAGACCAACAAGTCTGATCCACGGCTCTGTAGCCCCGTACACAGCAGGGCTTCATGCAATTTATGTTGTGATGCATTATTCCTGTCATCAAAATTACCTGTCACTTGTGCCACAGTAGCCCTTCTTTTGGTTTGTACTACACAGGATAACCTTTGTTTACATCTCACATCGATCTGTCCTGGCTGTCCATCATGTTTTCTTTTCACAGTTTCTTCCCCTCCTCAGACCACTATGAGTAGGTACTCACCATGGCTAAGTGTGGGCACCCCACAAGCTGTGCTGTTTCGAAGATGATCTGGCCCTTGTCAAAGTCATTCAAATCTTTACCCCCACCTATCGCTTCTGCACCCAACATATCGTCTATGAGTATTCAGCTTTATCTTACTGTGTAATATATCCCAGATCATGACAAACACCAATTTTACAAGATAATCAATTATTCACTTTACATGGGGGTGATTATAATGTTTTGGCTCATTGTTGTATATGCAGAGTATGTGTAGTACAAAAGCTATAAACTTTAAAGAGCTGATGCTTAGTTGATTTAAAATTTAGTGGCATCTGAGTTGTGTATAAAATGTACAAAATAAAAATAATCTTAGTTTCAAATTTACTTTGTCTAGGGGATGGTCTTCAGTTTCCTAAGTCAATGATTTCTTTAATAGATAATAGTAAGTTCATTTTGACCAATCTAAGTGGAAATAGAAGGATGAAATGAGACTGGCAAGTGTAACAACAAGGTCTAAAAAAAGGCTTGTTTGAAGATCTTGACCCTAGAGGATTTATACCTTTTTTTTGGGATTAACTGGTGGCTGGAATTAATAAAAAAGTAGATGTCCTGTTTAGGTTCCTCTAATATGTGATTTTCTGAAAGACAAGCCAACAGTTGTAAGATATGAAGAGTGCTAATGGGAAGATAATGAGATGTAAAGAGACATGATTGTGCATGGTGGCAGGGGGCTGGTGGTGGATATGGGCTTTCTCAGTTCTGTGCTGCTGTGTTGGCACCCCGGAGAGTTGTTCTTTATGATTTGTGCTGACAGGTGGGTCTGAGCATGGGGGGGATTGTTTCCCTGAGGTTAGATGCTATCCCAGCAGCTTGATTAATGAGCAGAGGGCTCTCTGACTCACCATGGGGCCACTACTCTAATCTGTCCCAGCAATGTCAACCAGAGAGTCCAATCAGTGCCGGCTGGAAAGGATTCGCTACAAATTAGTAAGCATCGATGTCTGCCAGTGCCCACGCTACCTACAACTACAAAGCCTGAAAACAGCATTGTGCCATTTTCCAGCCGGCAGTTGTGAGCTGTGTGTTACTGTAATTGTGCAAAAGTCTCCCATGAATTAGGGTCTTACTGACAGAATAAAGTAAGAGCAAGTTGGCCTCCTCTCCATTTGCTGTCAGCACTTTATTAGTTTTTAATTTGTTGTTTTTCTGGCTGACTATGTGGTTATAGTGTAGCAGTTCGAAAGCATATGCTACTTCCTAACTGTGCTGCAAAGAGGTTTGATTGTACCAGTTTTCCGCAGTGCAGTATAGTCTTACAGCATGTTTTGGATGGTCTGAGCTTTCAGCCAGAGCTGAGTAAGCTCTTTAAACTCAAACTTTGAGAAGAAATGTTATGTATTTGTTCACATTTATTTGGCTGGCAAAATCAGACATCTTTTTCCTCCACATGCATGGTGATGCAGCAGCAGTTCACATTGCCGTCTTCTGCTATCATCCATGGCTCCTGCTGGTTGCTAGGCAGCAGGGCTTCTACATAGTGGAAGCCAGCTCCACACAGGCTGCAGCAGCCTCTCTATGGAGCCCCTTCAGCCAATCAGGTGCCTTCATGAAGGAATGCAACCATAGCCACTTGGTCCTCCTCTCTCCCTCTCTTGCTCTGTTTCACTCTCTCTCTCGCCTTTGCTTACTTTCTCTCTCTCATGCTTGTTTGCTCCCTCTCTCTCGCTCTCCCTCTCGCTCACTCTCTCTCTCTCTCTCTCTCTCTCTCTCTCACTTTCTCATTCTCTCACTTTCTCCTGCTCTCTTTCCCTGCCTCTCTCCCTCATTTCCTCAATGAAGCTCTCCAGGAAGGGAGAGGGGTGGCAAAAAAACCAAAGTCTCTGCTGCGCAGCCACTCATGCCATGGGCCCTGGATGTGCGCTGGCTGGCTCTGAGGGGAATGAGAAGCCATCTGGTAGGTTGCCCTGCTATTGGTATCCATGACCTGGCTAAAGGTGTGCAACAGGAGCTCTCAGGTGTGTTTTGTGCGTGCTGTACATGCCTCATGGCACGTCAGCCATCGTGAGACATCGTCAGACATCTTCCTGCTTGCAGAGTTTGGCTGGCTGGCTGCTTGCCTGCCTGGGAGGCTTGGTGTGCAGCGGCAGGTTGCAGACTGAGGGAAATGTGGGGTCAGTGCATGTCAGTATCACCTGGCACATACCATGTGGTTTGGTCCAGCCATCAGGCTCAGATGTCCTGTATACGTAGTACATGCTGGGCAGGTGCCCACTTCCTCATGACAGTCTGGTTGACTACTACATGTATAGAATATGTCTTGTATTGTGTTTTTTATTGTTTATTGTTTTTGCTCCGAGAAACTTTCATCATATGTATATCATATATCAAAAGTAGCTTATACCTTATTTTTGTTATTTCGGTACTCAAGGTCACAGTATTGTCAGTCTCTCCGTAACTGTGTCACCACACACAGACTTATGGGTTATTAATTGTACTGAAATGTATGTTGAGGTTGGCAGAGCATGGCAGGTCTTATGGCTTAACAGGAAGAAAGGCTTGGTAAGGTGCCGAACCTGTGTGGATGTGGATGCTGGACGAGGACAGGTGGTGAGGTCGAATGATCTCATCTGAGTTCCCAGATTGCTGCTGATGCGAGCTGTGGGAAGACAGGTGACCATTTTGTTCTCTTTTTAACCAGCAATCCTTTTTTTAAAAACCAAGGCCAACAGGCCAAAAAGGTAAAATGTGGTGAATGGGGGGGGGGGGTTCTTTTTATGAATATTTATTGTTATCTCTTGACTTTTGGTGTTTTTGGAGAAACGTGATGTAACCTGTTTTCTGTGTTCAGTGCACCTGCACTGTAAAATAAGGTCACTGTTTAAACAATGACAGTATTCAGGATCCCACCACTGGGCTGTTAGATGATACACAGAAATTTGTCATCGATGTGCCGCGTTTTGCTTTCTCTACCCGGTGAGCTGTCCCTTTAGTTGAGCACAGTCTGGTCCATTTTCTTTTTATGGCAGTTTGTCTTACAAGTCCTCTATCCCGAAGAATCGTTGGATGATTAATTTATCACTTTGAAGTCATTCTGCAGAGGATTCCAAAAATGGAAAAGCATACTGTTGTGTCCCACTTATCCCATTGTAAACAAAACAGTGAATCTATTTAGCTGATCCTTTCTATTTTTTCCTCTATGCTGCAGCATGGCACATAATTAAGCAGGGCTCTTGCAAATGGTTCGGATTTCACTACTGTGGAACGAATGGAATTTTCACCACATCTCCATGTTCTACACTGTGTCTTGTGCCTGATTATCAGAGCTCACTGCTATAAATCGCACTGGTTAATTTGACAGCTTAATGCCTGAAGTGCAGCTTGCTTTTTCGAAAAGAGCAGTACCTCTTGGTCTTGCAGACATGGCTAAAGTGGCTCTTCAAGTTAGAAATGGATAGACCGATAAGTTGGGAGGTACATCTGCTGCGTCCAGGCATGAGTGACAGCCACTGAACTACTGCTAGCTGATACAGTCTTCCCCCCCCTCAGGTACTGCCTGATGAGCGTAAAGGGCTGCTACACTGACTTCCACATCGACTTTGGGGGCACATCTGTATGGTACCACGTCCACAAGGGAAGGAAGGTACGGTCGCCTCCCCAGCTCCCACCCTTCACAAAAACCTGTTTTTCGCTATTACTCAATGCTTCATGAGGATGAAGCTACTGTGTTACTCATTTCTGTCTAAGAAAGAGCACATAACTCATCTTACGCCTCAAAGCCAGGCGGCCTCTTCAGAATAAATTCCAGTCATAAATAGTTTTTGAAAAATTAGTAATAATGAGAGAAATACAAACACCCACTGGAAATGCAGTTGTTGTGTTTGTAGTACTCAGAGTCTTTTTTTGTTCTGTGCTTGTCACGATTACATACTGCTCCTGGGGTTATGTGATCACACTGAAGACAGGACAGAAAATGTTGTTCACGTTAATAAGAGCAGTTTCTTCTCTCCTTGACCTGGCTTCTTTAATAAAGACAGATATGGAGCATACAGAGTGTAGACTCCTGCTTGCATCTCAGCAGTGTTTTGGGATGTACAACTATGATCTGTTTTCACTGTGTTTGTAGGTATAACTGTTGAATAAAATCGTGACTTGTAAGAAAAATTACTTTAGTTAAATGTGTGTGAATATAGGGTCAACTAGTTCAACGTTCTAGCTGAAGGACGTGCTTATCAAAAACCTTAATGTATTGTACCAAAATCCTTAAGGGCATGGGCCTTGAAGGTTGCTGGTTCAAATCCCAGTAGCTCTGCTGAAGCTTCATTGAGCAGGGTACTTGACCTGAAAACTCAAGTCAAAAAAATTGAGACCGAAGCACAATTTTTGTTTCACTCACTTCTCAATTTATAAGTGTGTGTCTGTGAATAATACAGTCTGTGTGTGTGTGTGTGTGTGTGTGTGCTTTGTGGGACTTCTGTCCTGTTTCTAGGAGCTTGATATGAACTGTCCTAGCAGTGTACTTCACACCTACCCTTAATGTTTCCCATGCCTTTTGAAGGCCGCTTGATGTCATCCTACGATTCATGAGAAGCTGTTTGATAAGTTAACAGTCATCTCGGGCATTAGAAAGTTGCTTACATCCTTTACCTGGTTGTTCCTAGTGTCTCCTACTTCACCTTCTTGTATAATGCTGTCTTAGAAATTTTTAACCTGGAAGCAACCTGCTGCTCTGTGTAGCCATCTGCCAGCAGAACCATGATTAAACTAGGATTTAAAATGCAGATTTTAAAAATTATATGTAGAGTGGTCTCATGATTTTTTTCCATGGCTGTATATGGGGGAAAATATAACTAGGTTTATCAATGCATCAGCTAAGTAACACAAAAAGTAAAAATAAAATCGTAGTGTGGGGCTGCAAGAACAATCTTGCATAAATTAATTTCTATTTTATCTATGTTTTCCTACCTAAAAGTGCAAATGAGTGCAGGGCCCTCCCCAGGGAAGCATTATCCACTCCCAGAGAGTTAATTTACATGGTGCTGTGAGTGGAGAGTAGGTGGAGGTGGGGGCTTCATCATTTTCCGTCACTTAGCCCCATCTGCCCATATGACTGCCACTTATTAGCCTCCCTTTATCACCAAGCCTGTGCTGTAACAGATCAGTCACGTGGAAAGTGTTCCAGTTTGTGTCCCCCTCCCACAGCCATCTCCAGGTTTAATCTCAGCCTGCTGGAGGGGGCGGATACACACATCTGTTCACTGTATGCATTGTCGCAAAGCCTCTGTGACTGCAGCATCAGCAAAAACTGTGTATATGCAGCTACACCCGGGGGGGTTGGGGGTATGGAAAATGGGATTTGTTTCCCATACTGCCCTCTTTTAAGCATAGTAGTATGTGTGTGTGAGAGGATGCTGTGATCCACTTAATTGATTTAGTTGGGTGGAGTAATGGGGAATACTTACAGTCTGATCATGCAGATGAAGGATTATGGGTCATATGCTCTTGTAGAGGTGCTTTTGTCGAAAGGCTAACATTACGGCTTTTTTAGTTGTTAGAAAATGGGTCTTTGCTTTTAAAACAGTGTATATGTGCTTTCTTTCTTTCCATTTTTTTCTAATTTTAAAGCATTCTGTTTGGTGTTTCATACACATTGGTTTACGCTCTAAGCTTCACTTCTCTGCAGGGTCCGTATTGCTTGACAGCAATTGCTTGAAAGCCTCTGGCT